TCTGGCTTTCTCGAATGATCTATTAATATGTATGTAGTGTGATGGCACATGAATGAGGCTTTGGCCCTCGTCTTTGTAGGCCACCATCACATACAAGGGTCACACAGTCCCTCGGCTCACTCATCCGGGCATGTTCTCCTACCTCATCAAGGGCTAACCTATACACCCTCATCGGTTTGTTCTTCATGCCCAGGTAACATGGGTTTTTCCTAATCGACTGGCCTAGATCGTTAAGCATATATCGGTATCAGCAAACCATCGTTTGCTTAGTATCGTCTACGAGGGACCACACTCCCACTGAGTTCATGTTCTCCTATATCATTTCATTTTACAAGCACTCATAAGGCCTTTAAAGGCCATATAAACCAAACATATAAATCATTCTATCCATGGATATTGTCTCTTTCATTGATTACTGTAGTAGATATACTTGGATATTTCTTATTAGACTGAAACATAAAGTCCAGGTTCCTTTAAACTATTTCAAGCATAGGTTAAGATCCAATAATGAGAGAGAATATACATAAGCAATTTTCAATATTTCTAAAATGATAATGAAATCCAATATCTATTTTACATAGAAACATATCACACAACAAAATGGGTTTCCTAACTGAAACAAATCAACGTATTGTAGTGACACCTAGGGTGCTTGCTTGGTTCTCATATTTCTTCCCTCTGGATTAGTACTTTTAGGAACCACCCTTTATTAAAGACTTTATCAAATCATTGCCGATTATATTTGAGTGTGCGGTCTGCTTGTATGCATATTGATTCTTCACTTAGTAATAGAACTTCATCACAGAGCATACTGAGGGGTATTTATTAGTTACATCTAGACTATCAAGCTTATATATGCTATATTCCCTTAATATGTGGATCAATTGCTTCTTGCATGTTATCTATGATAAGTTAATCAATATTATTATCATAGGACCCATTTTAAAGAGTTTTTAAAAGGTAAGTTCAGCAATTGGTGTTGTAGTTTGTGAGCATCATTCATGAGAAAGACAGTAATCTTTTCGCCAAAGAAAATATCGAATACAACCCTTTTCACTTCTTTGCTCTGCGTGAAGAGTCGAGTGAACAGGAAAGTGATAGAAGACTTAGAAATGAGGAACATCACATTAGGGTTTTCGATTTGAAGAAAGACATTCTTGATTTTAATGCAAGTTTATTGAAAATCAGCAGGTTGTAGATTAGGATCTACTACTAATCTTCGATATATACATAGATGAAGAACAAGAAAGATCTGCTACTAATATTGTATGAGATTAGATCAACGATTATGAACAAGTTTTTGTTGTTGAACCTATCTTTTATGAAGAAAAGGATGAAGGACTCCAAGGAGAATCAATGGATGAAGTTGTTGTTCAGTCATTGAGTCCAATACTTATCTCAAAGATGCACTCATGGTACGTTTCAGGACTGAGCATAGGAAATTTCAACAAGGTTATATGGCTGAATTGATGCAATTTCAATAAGTTCATGTACTTGAACAGACATCATCGACAAACAATGACGATTTGCTCGATGGTTTCTCAAAAGCATTTTTGGATATGTCAATTGCAAAGACTTAATTTCAATGAACAATCATTATGTTTTGATTAATGCAATAACCCACAAGTACTAGGATCGTTTTTACAATATTCGAGGTGAAGAAGTTCGTAAGATTGATGTAAATTTCCATTTTAGTACACTTCAAAACTCGAGGATGTGTTTTATTCAACCAAGGGAAAATGGAGAGCCAGATTATTTTTATTTGTATTTTTTATTTAATTGCAAAGGATGTATATTTAATTTTAGTTTTAAGATTTATTTATAAGATTTATAAGTTTTTTAGAGATTCTAGGGTTGCCTTTATTTACAATTCATTGGGCAGTATTCATTGGTACTGCTTACGGGTTACTGTCCCCATGCGTAAAATATTTAAGTTATAGCTTCTTGGGGTCATTTCAACAATTGAATGGACAGTTACTATCATTTAATAGTAAACATTATTATAGAAGAGGTGTGTGGGGCTTGAGCCAGTCATTCCACGTGATTTTCAGAAACTGAATGAGAAAAAAAAAGCTTAAGTTTTTCAAATCCTAACTTGAGGTGAGGAGAAAACCCAAAGTTTCTCCATAGTATTACTTGTGTTTTGACTTGATCCTTTGATTCGTTGCTCTTCAAACTTCCCTATCCTTTGATTCGTTGCTCTTCAAATTTCCTTACATCAGAATGCTTCAGTACTTGAGCTTGAGAATGCCGGACCTTACTCATGCAATGTGCTTCAATACTTGATGCTAGACATTATTCATGCAATCAAAACATTGTACTAACATATGGAAAATTCAAGAAAAACACACCTCAAGGCTGCAAAGATAATATTGAGGTATGTCAAGGGAAGACTAAACCCAGGTGTTCTATATGCCTCATAGTTGGACTGGAGCTAACAACCTTTTTAGATGCCAACCAGGCAAGTTGTTCTAATGCTAGAAGATCAGATGTTGGCTTTTGTATGTTCTTGAGAGCAAATCTTATATCATGGAGGAGTAAAAAACAAAAAATTGTGGCCCAAGAAGCAGACTATGTATTAATATATGTGCCTCTTGCAACTTTAGAAGTTATGAGGTTATTCAATCTATTCTCAGAAATGGGCATACACCAAGAGAAGCTAGTTGAGATGATTAATTAAAGGGTTTTTCAATAGCAAAATAATTTTTTCCAATGGGTTTTTGAGAGGCGCAGTTGACACCTTATCTAAACTTTTTGTGTTGTGTTTCTAAAAAAACTTTCCAACCGTTACTATTTTAAATCTCTCTCTCTCTCTCTCTCTCGAAACCAATTGCTAAGGTCGTTTTAATGTGGTTTTCCACTAAAAAATTTCAAATATTTCCGGTTCCATATAAAATGGGCATCCTTACATATTGTTTATTCTTCATATCAATCAATCCATTCCCATTGGTCCCCATCAAAAAGTTACAAATCTCATATACAAGTGGTAGCACGTTTCCACTACTTGTATGAAATGGAAAAGTTAGGCTTGGGCATTTAAGCATATAGTGGTTAGGAGGATGGTCGGCAACACCAAGTTTAAAAATCCCATCATTAAATTTCTATTTTTTACCTGGACCACCAACTTATACAAATGATAAAATCACCACTATCAAAGATTTCTTTATTAAAAATAGACAAAAAAAAGGATATATCATCAAACTCAAACTAAAGGAAAAGGTTTGTATTAAGTTGCACTCATATATTGCAGAAGTAAGGTGCACCTTAGAAAAGTATGTTCTGAAGTTCGAAAACCCTCCAATTGATTATCTTGACCTCTCAAGATATATGTAAAGACAAAAGTTTATATAAGGTTACAACCTTAAAATATAAATCACAGATGGACCTAAAAAATCTATCGAAAATATTGTTTTAATGTTGAAAAAACCCTCTAATCGATCATCTTGACATTGAGATGTATGAATATGAAAAAAAAAAAAAAAACTTGAGTACCGGAAATAGTGCATCTTGCAACATATTATCTAAGATCGTCCATTTTCAATATTTTCATATAGTTATAGATCTACTTGATTTTAGCTATTTTTGGAATTTAAAATTTTCTAATTAGGTATGAAAAAAGATTTTAAGATACTACTAAGAATTTTTTATAACAAAGTTACATGTTATGATAAATTTTTGAGGTACGCCTTAATTGGATTGTTTAAGGTTGCATCTTTATAGAAACCGCACCCATATGTAAAAGGACAGAAATAATTTTAAGTTCTAGAAACTAGTTTATCTTGTAACAAGTTATCTGAACTATCTATTTTCAAGATTTTGAAGTGTTTATAGATATGTTCAATGTGCACATTTTCAGATTTTCTAATTTCATAATTAGGGTTGAATATGATTTTTAAGCTTTCAGAACATTTCAACGTCAGAACCACATCTTTCGACAAAATTTAGAGGTGCGCCTTACTTGTATATAACAGGGTGGATACATTATACAAACCTCACCCCAAACTATAGTTAGCAAGTCGCCAATTTAATCAGGACTTTTTTAAAAAAATGGTTAATCTGTGACTTTTTCAATAGATTGGTAAAAATGCACGATCTTTTCAAGAAGAAGTTTAAAACGTGACTTTTCAAAGTTCGAAAAAATCGTTTCAAAAAATCTTTCCTATTAATATACTCTTGATTTTTTTTTGGAAAGTTCAATATCTTTTTCCTGTTTTGTGAAATTTCTATTTCTATTCTCCTGAAACTTTCTCTGGTTCTTTGGATATGGTGTGTATTTTTTCGGGTAGTTATGAGTAGACCATAGTTAGCAAGTATGAGGTAGACATTTTCTTTCTAGAAAGATAAAAATTGAATTCACCTACCCAATAATAGAATAGATAATCATCTTATGATTTAAAGATATATCACCTTGGATATTTGAAATTTATATTTATAGGGAGTTTATTTTTATACCCGGTGATATATATAGAGTAAAAGCATTACTCCTCAATAAAGTTTTTCTATAATAAGTGATATATATATTTAGGGTTTTAAAATTTTTAATATTTAAATATATCTGATTTTTTGATTTCGATTTTTTTAGCCTAATCCGATATATTGGCGATCTCTTTATATGAAGTATTTTTGCCGATCTATATTTTTTATCTGATTTTTGTATCCAACTTTTAAAAATAAAAACAATTAATTTCTGATTTCATAGTGAGCCAATTTATTGATAATCCCTGACTTGCCAACTATCCCCCTATCTAAAAAGTGAAAAGATAAAATGCAAATGATGGTGAATGAACGGATTTGCTGTAATACCGATTATGAAGTGAAGGGGTTATCATTGTGTTCCCACTCTCAATTAAGAAAAGGGTGTGGTTTATACAAAGCATCAACTTTGTAAATCAAAATAAGGAGCATCGACTACAAAAGCCATGTCCTTTATTCTAAATCAATATGTATTGAAAATAAATCACAATAAGAATAATAAAAAAAAAAACTGATTTTGCCAATACGGCATTGTCTCCAAGGACTTCAAAAGTTAGTTTGGACACCAGCACTGCCTTTGTCAAAAAAATGATCTCTCTCTTATCATCTCCCAAAAAACGATCGCATCCACACCATCAATTTAGGATAAACGATCACATCCACACTGTCAAAATCCGTGCCGTTGATCTCCCATCTTGGTTCGACTGAGCTATCAAGCTTACGATGAAGACCACTAAGCCATGAATCTAATGGTGAAGGCCACTAGTGAAATGAAAGCCTTTGCCTACCGACCTTTTCCCCCTTTATCCATGCCAACTTCTTTTCTTTTGAGATCCAAAAAGGGAGAGAGCACTATGATCTATGAAGAAGACGCCACAACATCAGATTCAGTGGTTGTGTTCTCCTCGGCGATGAATTGCTTTAATCGGCCCAATTCATCGGCGATCTCCATCATTGTTGGCCTCTTCTTTGGGGTACGTTGGGTGCATAGTAAACCAAGCTCGATCAATTCTATGGCGATTAATCGCCTTAGCCTTGGAGAAGACAAGGTCTCATCTTCTATAGAGACGGTCCTTTCTATTATAGGGTCCATATTGTGGGGGTAGTGTCCTTTCACCCAGTCTTGTAGGGTAAGTCCTTGTTGGAACGTTAGGTCTACGGGTCTCCTACCCGTTACCATCTCTAACACTAGGATCCCAAAGCTGTAGACATCTCCTTCTGTGGAAGCGTTGCGTCCCAAACCATATTCTGCATGTCAATTAACCAAAAAACATAAGTATGCATATAAGTTCCTCTGTCACAAGAATCCATTGGGCTAAAAACCTACTTAAGAGTTTTTTGTTTTTTTGTCTTTTTTTTTTTCTTTTTTTTTTTTTTAATTTAACATTTTTTTATTCACTTTATAATCACCGTATGGTATTTTCAAGAAAAGAGATTGATTATTGAGTTTCTAAACACTCGGATTTTCACTTTCCCAAATTCTAGAGAGTCTCTATTCAATTTTAGAACATTATTTTTGGGGAAATTTATCAAAACTAACCTAAGACTTGGGCTATTTAATATTCTACCCTTGGTGTTTTGTGGTTTGAAATCTCTTTTTGAAGTATCATTTGATGGGCTAATCTGGAATTTGATAAAAATAATGATAGTCATTCGAAATCAGATCAAATAATAGGGCAAAGACGTTAAATAATTCTAGTCTTAAATGTAGTTTGATATATTTTCCTTGTTTTTTTAGGGTGCATGAAGAGTGCATATAACTTTTTCTTTTTGTTAATGAGATTGGTCATTAGGTCGAGGAGGTTAAATCACCAAAATTCCATGTCCTAAAACTCAAAGTTGGCAAGATTTTACCAGAGGGTGTAAATGCATGATTAGCGGCAATGGAAGCATATAAGCTTTTGGCTTTACTATATACAGGTATGAAATTTAGGTTGAATTGTAGGAGTGGCCATATACCGGGCTGCCCTGGCCCTAGTCCCTAAAGGGCTGGTCAGCCTGGCCGGGCAATGATAAAGCCAAAAAGGCCCTGGCACAATCAGGGCAGGCCCGGGCCAAATACAATAAACATAAGAAAAAACAATAATAAAAATGGGCTAGGCTAGGCCTGGCGGAGTCAGGTTCGGTCCTATTGTAGACCTGACCCAAGCCAGGCCTGGCCTTTTCCTCAGGCCTTGTTGACCCTAGCCTTCAAGGCACATTTTGTAGCCTACGTCCATATTGTTTTAGGGCCAGACAGACCCGGCCGGCGGGGCCATCAGGCCCATTGCCAGCCCTAATGATTGGTGGCTTCATGGAAAATAAAGATTATGAAAGAAAAGATCCAAAATGAATATGTTTTGGTAGGGAATATTGTAGGTATTTTTATAATTTCGGTTTTAGCCTAGAAAGCAAACAATTGGTTAAGAACTCACTCACCTGGTGCAATGTAACCAATCGAACCACAAAGTAATCCAGTGCCCGAGCCACTCGAGACCTCCTCTGAACCCATGGCTCCACTTCCAGCGAGCCTGGCCACCCCAAAGTCAGCCACCAATGCCCCCATCTCCTCATCCAAGAGCACATTACTGGGCTTCAAATCACAATGTATAACCCTAACTGGTGCATGATGGTGCAAATAGGCCACCCCCTCAGCTATATCACTGCATATGTGAACCACTCTAACCAGGCTTAAACCACCTTGTGGTCCATAAAGATGCGTCTCCAAGCTCCCATTGGCCATGAAAGGGAGCACCAGAGCTTTGAAATCAGGCTTGCTGCAAGCTGTTATGATTTTGATGAGGTTTCGATGTCGAATTCTCTTCAAGACTCTGCATTCTCTCTCAAAGCTTTTGGTGTTGCTCTCTGTTACTTGTAAATCTAAGACCTTCACTGCAACAAGAGTTTGGTCCTTTAGGGTGCCTTTGTAAACATGGCCGAACCTTCCCGAGCCCACTAGGCTCGATGGGTTGAACCCATCTGTGGCTTCAGCTAGCTGATGCTGGGTCAGGCGAGGAAAGCTCAAAACCTTTAGTAGATCTCCTTCTCCTCCATCGAAAATCCCCATTTTCTTTCTCTTTAGAGAGAGGTAGTAGCTGAAGCAGCAAACTACGCATGGAGTTGCAGATACAGTGAGGAGAATTGGTAGTATAAGAGACTTTTTGATATGTTTCTTGGCTTGAGTGCTTCCATTACAAGGAGGAAGAAGGACTTTTATAGGTCCACCACATAGCTTCGAATTACCCTCGAAAGCGGCCATTGTTAGGGTTTTGAAGACACCAGTGGCCGGAACCTCTCCAGAAAAGTCATTGAAAGAAAGGTTGAGAAGCCTAAGAGTTGCCAAGTTTTTCAAAGATTCAGGCAATTCGCCAGAAAAATTATTGGAAGAGAGATCAAGAGTGTTGAGATATGGCAAGCTTCCTACGGATGAAGGAACAGTGCCTAAAAAAGAATTATGAGAAATGTTTAAGTACTCGATAGCTATGCAACTCCCAAGCTGAGGAGGAACAGAACCTGTAAAATTATTTGAAGATAAATCAATGGCTAAAACCATCTCCATTTTACTGAGCTCTAATGGCAGAGGCCCCTCCAAATAATTTCTAGACAAATTCAGATAGAGCTTTAAATTTCGCAAGGCTGCAACTTCTCGTGGTATAGTCCCATTAAGAAGGTTATGAGAGAGATCAAGGATCTCTAAATTGTTGCATCTTCCTAAACTTGGAGGTATAATACCAGAAATCTTATTCTCGTAAAGTAACAGTCTTCTAAGTTGCATCAAATTGGATAAAGTTGCAGGAATCGAACCCGAAAGGTTATTTTTTGACAAATCTAACAAACCCAATTGCTTAATCTCCCCCAAAGTAACTGGAATTTCCCCTGTGAGAGAATTATTGGATAAGCAAACTCTCTCTAACTTAGAAAGTCTGCTAATTTCAGGTGGTATAGATCCTGAAATGAAGTTACTGGACAAGTTCAAGAGGGTGAGGTTCGAAAGCTCTGCGATACTTGGCGGCAGGTAGCCATGTATAGCGTTCTCCTCCAAATGTAGCTGAATCAAACTAGCTGGAAGAAGCTTTCCAATATCCATCGGAACTTCACCGCCAAGTCTGTTTCCTGCGAGCTCGAGCTCCTGTAAATTCAAGCACTGGGTAAGAGAGGAGAAAAATGGCCTCAAATTGGTGTTGTTTTCATGGCTCACAAATTTATTATAGGAAAGATGAAGAAATTGGAGGTGATTCATGGCTCTAACAATGCTTGTGGGCAATTCCCCAACCAGAAAATTTGATTCTAAGTCGACCCATTCGAGCTTCGATGAATTGGTTAAAGACTCGGGCAAATTTCCAACAAGCCGGTTCGACCATAAGAGCAAGAACCTCAGCTCAGGCAATCGAAAAAATCCAATCTCACCACTCAAGCTATTGTTTGATAAATCCACATACTGAAGAGAGGTACAATTATAGAACAAACTAGGGGGAATTTCGCCACTAAGAGAGTTGGTGCCTAGGTCCAAGTACTCGAGCCCAGTTACCGAGCCTAGTTGCACTGGAATCGATCCTTCCAGCATATTTTCAGCTAAGCTCAATTGCTGTAGCCTCAACAGTGATCCAATTTCACCTGGGATATGACCCTCAAAGTAATTTCCTGATAAATCAAGAACATAGAGAGAGGAGAGAGAACAAATAGATGGAGATATAACACCATGCAGTGATTTTCCATTCAAATCAAGCTGAATCACTTTAACATTCCGGCCACTTTTCCGGCAAGTTATTCCGGTCCATTTACAAACCGGTATGGTGGTATTCCAATTTGAGAGAGAAGAAAATGGATCCATTGCAACACCACTCTTGAAATCCATAAGGGCATTCCTGGTATTTGAAGCACCCCTTAGCGGTTTTCCGGCCCCAGAAATTGTACGGACGCAGATGAATAGGAGGATAAAGAGTTGGAAAATGGAGGCCATCGCCGGAAAAATAGTGGGTTTTGGACGGAAAATGATGAGCTAAAGAAAAAAAAAAAAAAGAAAACCAAAAAGAACATGAGCTATGTAGGTGAGCAATAGTTGTAGGGTTTAAACAGTGGATTTTGATTAGACCATAGTGGGACTTATATATGTATGGCCTTTAGTCTTGCCCCTTGCACGTGTTAATTTTTATACGTGTGATTTCTTTGCCTAACCGCCGTTTGCGTGTCGTGAATGGTGGCGGTTTTGACCTATTGCAAAACTTGACGGCGCTGAATTTCCGTTTGTGACACATGGGACGACCCGAAAAAAAAAAGTTTTTTTTGTTGATGCCACGTCAGAGTCCCGCTTTTTGTAAGCTAGTGGACTGCGGAAACTGCCACGTGGATGCCCAATGCGGGTCCAGTGATGATTGATGACGTGGACTCGGACTTCTACAGGGTTTCAGAAGCGTAAATGTCGGATCATAGGAAACGGCCGTTTCTTTGTAATAACGGTGACGTCTACATATTCGTGAATTATATCCCACAAAAAGAAGAGTCGACAAGGAAAAAGGCAAGGGAGAATTATAAAAAAAAAAAGACAAATATCATTCTCATCGTTTTAGTCTTTTTTTCAATTAATTGGAATCGGTTAATAAAAATATATAAAAAATAACAAATTATTTTGAGTTAATTATGTGCGTACCCTGTATATCAAATTATTGGTCAGAATAAATATCATTTTATAAAACTGGAACATATATGGAGAGTAATATAAAGTCTATCGATCCTTTAATGCACCCTTTGTACAAGTGGGTTTGATGTTTAATGTAAATAGATCAAGCCTAAATGTGGGTGACTATGAGAAATTAGCATTATTTGGGTTGAATTCTTTCAAAAGGATGCAGAAAAAAAATAAATAAATAAAATAAAAAACTAACTAAAATCGTTGATTTTACGTGCTAATTTTTAGGCAATTTTAGTTGTTTTTTGAAGTGATATGATAGACCCTAGAAACCCTAATTGTTTCCTTTCGATTGCAAGCATAAATAATACAATGTAATATCCCATTTCAAAAACTCGAAATTCAAATCTAGCCTCAAATTTCTCAAAAACTGTAAAAAAAGAAAATAAAAAAAACTGATTATCAGAATATTGCTGGATATTGCCGGAATAATGGTACTGTCGCCGGAAATCCTCCTTGCTTGAGCCGGTCAACCGTTTAGAGAGAGAGAGAGAGAGGTTTGAGAAAAATCGAATTGAAGGCGGAAAGAAATGGGTTTATGTTTTTAAATTGGTCGCAGAGAGGTCCAAGGACTCAAACCTCAGATCGCATATAAAAGCTATAGCGATCCCAGGATTCCGAGATTGGACCGATATTTTTTCTAGCGGTCCGATGATTCGAACCTTGGACTGAATGGTATAAGCTCCATCCCGTCGGGCACTGCCCTATAAATGAAAATTAGAAAAAAAAAAAAAAAAAAGTAAAATACAGTCCGAAGATTGCACCGAGGGCTAATTTAGTTAAAAAAAAAATTTACGTCGAACGATCGTAGATTTAATATACAGAGCATATTATATTTTCCCTACTTATTATGCAGGGGGTCTAAGTAATTTTCTCAATTATTTTTTAATATGTAATTGTAGTTTTTGAATATGATCTTTTTCACAACAACAACAATTCTTAGCAATTTACGATCACGTCCCTCTAATATGCGGTGTTATGAAATAGTCTGAAAAGTTTTTGTATCGTATGTTCATCGCCTCTCCTCTTCTTTTTTAGCTCCTCCCAAATTAACCCTACTTCGAACCTCGAAAGTCCAAAATCATAACGAAATTCTTGATTTCAGTCCTTTAAGGTACAAACTCCACTCAATTCACTTCAGGTGTTCACGGTTGAGAGTAATAGGACTTTGGATCTCGAAGGACGAAATCACTCGAGCAAAATTCTTGTGGGCTTTGGTCCGAAGTCATCCAAAGTAGAGGTACCAAGGAAAAAATAAATGAATAAAAAAATAAGAGAAAAAGTGGTTATGGACATAAAAACAGAAATTTGAGAGAATTTTCGTAATAACAGTAATTTATGGGAACACAATTTATTTATAAGATAGAGTTGATTTTTCTTCTTATGGGCCATATACTTGTGTCAAATCTCAAACCTTGTGACAGCCATTGTCCCGTCATCGAATGGCCGTTATATCAAATTCAAAGCCGAGAGTTTGGTATAACGGCCTTTTTATTCAAACAACTAATTACAATTAAATAATATAACTAAGGTACTTTGCATATGAATTACATAGGAACCGGCCGTTTTTCTTAACCCTTGCTTTCTGGTTTGGATGGGTGAGATGAGGAGTACAAGGAGCTTTGAGAAGGGGTGAAAAAGAAAGCAAATTTATATAAAAATCACAAAATCAGGGTTAGAGCTTAGGTTTGGACTATTATTTATATACAAAAAGATTGAAACTTTGGTGCTATACTGCCATGCCTTATTATTTAAGGACATAATCTTTGCTTAACCTAGCAAGACAAAACATGATCTTGTTTTTTTGGGGAATAATGTTTCATTAAATGGAATTCCACCCAATTGAACACCCCCTGCCAAATAGACACTTCTCATTGTTGGGTTGGAAGGCACATGTGGTTTGTACAAGGCAAAAATCTTAAATAATAAAAGTAAGGCATATTTTAAATCATGCCAAAAGATGCATTAATTTTTATTTTTAATTATAAAATTTAAAGCTCTAAAAATGATGCAGATAAAATTAACTTTCAAATATAGCCATGTGGCTGCCTAATGCGATACTGTTGATGACATTGTGATGATGTGGATAGCTCGGTTTCGAACCTTGTACTGTGGTTCAATAATGGAAGTACCGGATCTTAGCAGAACCGGCCATTTCATTGTTATAACAGTAACAATCTACATATATGTGAGCCGCCTATGTTAAACTGAAAAAGAAATTAACAAAAAAATCTTGTTTTATTTTCATAATTCAAAAATAGTTCTAGATATTTTACATTTTACAGTCAAGTATCACTATTTGAAAGCACGTGATGTATTTTAATTTTATGTCTTTTATATACATCAGACTAAGCTTAAATTTGGAACGTTCTTACTTCTCAGCATCAAATACCCATACAAAATTTTGAAAAAAAAAAGAAAGATAAAATATATTAAATTGCCAAAATAACCCTAAATATTGTAGGGGTATTTTGGTTATTTCTGATTTGAATTATTTATTTATAAGTGTGTGATGATGAATAGTATTAAAATATCAAATATGGGCTTAATCCAATTTATAGAAGGGTAAGGTTTGTATAAAGTGTCAACCTTAAACAATAACAGTAAGGTACATCTCAAAATCTCATTAAAAGATGTATTTTCATACAAAACCTCGGTCATGACCTAAAAGTCTATTTTCCAACCCTATAATGAAATTGAAAGATCCGAAAATGGTACAAATCTAGTAAATCTATAAGCACTTGAAAATCTTGAAAACGGACGGTCAAAATAATGTGTTATAACATACACTATTTTTAGAACTTAAAATTCATTTTTCTTTCATATCTATATATATCGACGTCAAGATGATGACAAAATAGCTTTGTTCGATAGGTTTTTTAAGTACACCTTAAGGTTGAGACCTTATATAAATTTTTTGCTTTATAGAAAAATAGATAAAATTAAAATACTCTTTATGCGTCTACGACAGAGGAATCTATGCTCATGTCCCCCAAAATTTTTTTGTTATTATAGGAGTTCCCCCCATTCTTGTCTTTTACATTTATACCCATTTTTTATTTCTTTCCAAAATGCCCCCAAGGGCTTTGGATCAAGTCATGAAGGATTTTTTACTGCATACTTCGAAGGTTTGTAGTGGACTTTGAATCTTGACTTCCGATCCGGAGTGAAGAGGATTTCTAGGACTTGATTTCATATCTTGAAAATTCGAATTAAAAAACCAAAGAGTAAAGAAGAAGACTTTGTGTTAAATCTCAAATAGTATACCAGCAATTTTCCTGTTAACGGCTGTTATATCAAATTTAAAGCCATTTTATTCGAACAACCAGTTGCCATTAGATATCATACTTTATTCAAATAACCAGTTTTCCTAGAGCGCATATATTATGCTCCCTAGGGAGGATACTGCACATCTCTTCCCTCGTTTAAAACACCTACTTAGAAGGAGTTTTTTTTGGGAAACATACTAGATGATTATTTTTAAAAGAAAAAAAATTAAATTTTAAGTTTTGTAACACTTTGTTCTAGCCCTTCAAGAATTGGATGGTCTTTATTCAATTTTGAGGCATAAGATTTTTCTATTACATATCAAGTTTATTTCAATTATTTTGTTTTTTTTTTTTTTTATTCGAGATTATTTTATGGGTTATAAATATTATATCCCTAAAATTTGAGATCCAAAAAATATTCATAGCATATATTTTATCTGAGGGAGTAAATGGACATAAGGGTGGCAATGGACCCGACCAGACCCAGGACCCAACAGGTATACCCGACCTTGAGTCCGGATATGGGTCCAAATTTTGGATTCGAATGGTCGGGTCCATGTCCAAAACCCGAACCCGAATACTATTCGGGTCCAGGTCTGGAACCGGGTCCAGCCAGACTCGACCTATTGCCACCCCTAAAGGGATAGTGTCCTCCATAAGCAGGAAATCCAAATCACCTTTTTCTTGCTTTCTGGATAGAGAAATCATATAAAAATTACTCAACTAGCATAAAAGCTAAGGCATGGAATATTATTATATAAAAAGAGTGAAAGTATGGTCCTATACTGCTATTGTCTTATTATATTGAGGACATAATCTTTGCTTACCTACCAAACCAAAGCATAATCTTGTTTATGGGGAATAAGATTTCATGAAGTGGAGTGCGCCTCAATTGAAGAACACGGCGCAAACACGCCCTACCAAATACACACTGAGGCCGCATTCCGACCATCTTAGTTTAATGTGCGTTTAGTTTGAAACCCATGTTTGATTTACACCATCTTAGTTTAATTGTGCTTTTAGTTTGATTATCTACTTTAAAAATGGATAGCATGTGATTTGCTCGACTTTTAAGAGAGGATTTTGAGCAAAGACTACTTGATTACGATCATAATTTCTTAAATGTGTTCAGATTTTGAGTCAAACCTATAATCTAAATTTTTCTTGGGCAATATACACTAAAATTGATATAATTTGGATCAATAGATCATAGTGGTAATGTGGATGATTAGACTCGAAAGTCAAAACTACGAAATATCTATCATCATCCACGTCTTATTTAATTATTTAGGGTCGGCTAAACCAGTATAGAAAAAATCAAACCGCAACGGTGAATCGGATTTGGGGTCAAAAGCGGTTCAACCGGCCTAACCGGTAAACCGGCCGGTTCAACTGGCCTAATTGAGCAAGTCTCCGGTGGTCAAAAAAATATTTAAGGTCCAAAAAATATTTAAAGTACGATACTGGTGGATTGTTGATGAATCAAGATGATGCAAAAAATCCCCAAACATGAAAGTTAATCCATTTGATCGTGCATGGTTGACAGTTAAATTTTTATAATTGTAAGTATACAACAGGCGAAAAAAGAAGCCTTAAAATTGGTATTTAAAAAACCCAACAATCAAACGCTACCAAATTATCGATTACCAAATTATTGATTATAATCATATTATCATTGTATCTTGTCCAAGTATCCAACAACTTGGGTCTTGATGAATTGGCACCGATTCAATACACGCTTTTATAAAGTACGGCATGCGATTTAGCAAATCTCTACAGTCTACACCCCAAACCGAAAAGAAAAAATCACATCAAACTGAGAATTTCTACAATAATGTTGGAAATTACTGTCCAATTCAATCAGCTACTCACCAGTCATTCACGGAACATTTCATCAGCGCGATTAATATTTGCCACTGGCATTTCCACTAGTACATATAATCATCGTACATGAAATAACACATGCTCCATATACCAAATTACAACTAATGCCAATATTTGTAATGATTTCTCCCTCAGATTTCCTTCAGGTTTTTGCTTTTCCAAAATTCCAGCATCTTTGTTGCCTATGGATGCTATTGCACAATAGCACTCCACCTTTACAGCTTTGCTCCTTCTCTCCCTTCATTGTGAACAGTGAAAACCACGAGGGAAAGCACCTTCTTCTTACTGTTCTTGGATATGCGAGCTTGATCACTTGAGATGGGATTCTCTGTCGATCTGCAATGGTTCAAATGAGATTTTTCTCCCTTTCTCTCAGTGACAAATAGATTCGATCTCACCACCTTTGCAGGATGAGATTTCATGAAAATCCCAGTTCCAGCAGTAGTTATCCATGCCTGAAAACTCTGTACAAGGCGAGGATCTCCAAGCCAACTGCTCAAATTATGTTGTATCAAGCGCATCGAGTTGCCAGATTACGATGGCAAAGAAAGCTTTTTGCCTTGTTAAACACTAAGAGAAAAAACAGCCATGAATTAATTTTATCAGTTGAAAAAATATGGGGATTCAAGGACATCTCGGAGATCAAAATCTCCCCTTTCAGGGACAGCTGGAAACACCAATGTGGGAAATGATGTTTGAAAGCCCTCGAGCAACTGCATAGACATAATAAAGCCCACAGAACAGAAGACATATTAGCATTTTAACTTTCACCAATAGAAACAATATTGGAAAAAAAAAAAGCATATTAGATTTTAATAGATACAAACCATATTAGAAAGAAAAAAGGGTATCGGAATATTGTTTTAAATAGCAACAGAACTTATTATAATTTACAGGAAGGTTAACACACATTCTCAAGTATTGGCATGCTGTAGAGTTCAACAAACTTCTCCCGAAGAATCCAGTTCATCTCATCGACATCACATGCATGTGTCCAATATGAGTCATGCACCCCTGCAAAAAAAGAAGGTTAATTATTTTTGAATCTTTTCCAAAATAACAACCGCATTTACAATTATTAACATGAGAAAGTTTTTTCCCCGCATTTTTTGCTCATTTGTTAAGAAGATATTAAATGGATTTTTGTAATATTAGAAGATTCCAAATCAAGAACTTCTGTACCAGGTATGGTGGGATATCATCATTATCAGAGCCTTTTCCCAACTACTTGGGGTCGGCTACACAAATCCTTGTCTATTATTCTGCTCTATCAAGGGCCATAACCTCAGTGAGGCCATAAGTCTCTACATGTTTTTTCACCACTTCCAAAAATGTCCTTGTAGACCTGAGCCTTCTACTTGAACCAACTCACACCTCAGGTATTGTATTGAGTTTGTGCTACACATGGCCAGCCCACATATGTCTACTTTGTCATCTTATTGCCTATTGGAACCACACCTAAGTTCTCCCAAATGTATTCATTTTGAATGCTATCATTTCTTGTTTTGACTCATCCATCTCAAAATCCTTATCTCAACTACACTCATCCTATGGGTATGTTACCGCCCAACATTTCGCCCCATAAAGTCAAGCTAACCTCACAATTGTCCTATAAAAATTCCCCTTCAGCTTCTTTGGTAAGCAGTGATCACATAAAACTCCGGTTGCACCGTCTCCACGTCTCCCACCTAGTGCGAACTCTTCCTCAATGTCTCCATTTTCCTGGATTATCGACCAAAGAGATCGAAAGTGCACTCTTCTTAGTATTTCTTAGCCGTCAATCTTAACTACTTCCTCGTCTCTTACTTCCTCGTCTCTGCTCCTATTATTACTAAACTTGCATTCTATATACTCTGTCTCTACTCCATATCTTCACGAGGGTAAATTCTTTACTAAATGGGATCGCTTTACTCCATGATAGGAATCAAGGTTCTCGAAGTTCACTTATCAACTATATTGTTACTTGGGAGTGAATATCATTGAACAATATTTTTAACTATTTTCAAATTCACAAACCTAGTATCGATGTGAACAAAATTCATGTCATTAAAATTCTCTTTTACATTTTGTTATCAGTGGAGTATGATCTTGCACAGCGATATGGTGATGCAATAACTAAGTCCTTGATCCCATGTTAACAATGGGAATTGAGGGTGATAAAAACAGTGCACCTACTTACATTGGTCTGCCTACAACATGTGGATCCATTACAAAAATTGCACACCTACCTACAATTGTCGGCCCACAATGCACACATCCTCAATTTTGGCACCAATCAGTTGGATTGGGCAACTCCCACTTGAATATCAAATGATGATTAATATAAGAATGTTGTGATAGATTGTTTCCAAAAAAGAAATGCCGCAATAGTTAAGTTCTCTTTTGCAAAGTAAGAAAAATGAAAGACATTGCCATATATAATTCCCAGTAGCTCACCTCTATCAAAGATTGCTAGAGGTTCAAAGACATTTACATGAAAGAGACCTCACATTTCCACACATGCATGTTATTCCATCACCTGTAAGGTAATATCATGAGTGGCTTGATTTGATTGACAAACACTTAAGTGATAGATGCCCTTTAGGAGGTAGACAAGACCTAGTGAACTAGCTCCAAGGAAGTTGAGCATATTGACATTCGTCAATAGAAGCATACTGCGACTAACTTTTGCATCTCCTTCCACCTTCTTGCTTCTCTCCTTGTCCTCGTAAAATATGTTGGAAATCATGGAGTTCATAAAGATTGTAGGTCATAAAAATTTGGAGGTCCACACTTGATTGTATATGAACCAAAAAAATGTATCGGTGAAACTCGCTCCCAAATTAGAGGATACTCGGATTCCAAGTTGGTGGAATCGTGGTTCTGCTTACTCATGGAACCATGATCTTTGGCATAGGGATCTAGATCCCATTAGATGAGATCATGTTCCCCAATTTCCCTAATCGAGATCCTAAATATCAAGGAATCACACAGAATCGAGATCCCGTATCTCGGAGCGCAGGATCGAGCTTCTGGAGCGGAAGCGACACCCTCCTTAGAAGATCCCATTAACTATGATCGGGAGACCCCTTTATTTTCCAACACGCACCAAATTAAATCTCAAGATACTCCATCATAAGCTTTCTCTAAATCAATAAAGACCATGTGGAGGTCATTTCCCTTCACCCTAAACTTCTCAATCAGTTGCCTAACTAGGAAATAGCCTCAACTGTTGACCTCCCTAGCATAAAACTGAATTGGTTTTCTGATACACTCGTTTCATGCTGTAGTCGTTGCTCAATCACTCTTTCTCACAGCTTCATAGTGTGGCTCATAAGTTTGATCCCCCCATTGTTTGCACATTTATGTGTCTACTTTGTTCTTGTAAATAGGTATCATAGTACGTTTCCTCCATTCATTTGGCACTTTCTTTATTTTCAACACCTTGTTGAACAGCTTGCTTAGCCAGTCAATGCCGATCTTCCCCATGCACTTATAAACCTCTATTGGGATACCATCTGATCCTATCTTCATCATTTTCAAAGCTCCTTTTACTTCCAATATCTTAATCCTACGAATGTATCTAATGACCTCCGGCCTCATTTATGCCAACGGTTCCGTTTACCGTTGTTCCCATTGTATTCTTCATTTACTAATTTTTTAAAAATAAATTCTCCACATTTTGTTGACCTCTTCATCTTTCACTAAGACCTTATGATCCTCACTCTTAATGCATTTAATATGGTCTACTCTTTTTCTCTCTCATTTTTGCTAATTTGAAGGCTATTGTTTTCACCTTTTCTTACATCCCGTTCACACACACACACACACACACACACACATATATATATATATAAAGAGAGAGAGAGAGAGAGAGAATGGGGTGCAAACTTTAAAGTATTTTTTCCTTCTATTTATTCCATGTGTATAAAATTAGTAAGGGCATTAATTTCTTTCACAAAAAATTTCAACTTAGGAGCAAGTTTTGTACACCCTCAGAGTACCCACATGGCTGGGGTGCCAGGAGTGGCTCTAGGAGTTGCTGATATGAGCGAGAGGGAGAGTTTAAAGAGTGGTGGAGAGAAGGCTCAATCTCAAGACCAGTAACAGTATAGGCAAGGAGATCAACGAAGAGGAAGCCCACTGATAGAAGAAGGATAGACAGAAAGTGGGCGGACAGCAGCAATAAAAAAAAGATTTCAGGCATGGAGGATCCATGCCCCTGAAATAATTTTTCCTTGCTGATATCATAAAATTTTGTTTTTTAAAATTAGAATTTCTTAGATATGAGTTCAGCTTACCACTTGCTACCAATACGGAATCAAAGATAGAAATAGGGGTTGTACAGCTTGTCAATTCATGAGTGGGCTGTTATACGTGGGATAAGCCTGGTTATGACCTAATATTGTTTCCCGCTGTCAGTAAACAACAAAGATTTGTATAGTACTTGGATCTTGTCCTTCTTCAAATACGGCAGGTCTATACTTTGAGATCTCTCTCGATGAGGTACAGGGCATGTTTTATTAACGAAAAGGAATGACCTATAAATTTTCAAATCTCGCTTCGCATTTTGTTGATGACGAACTTTTCTTTTGCTTTCCTTGGTAGAATCGTTCTTCTTTCCTTTGGTTCCCTGTTTCATTGAGAGGCTCATCATTCTCTATGATATGTGACATTTTTCTCTTTTCTTGTTTGTGAGAAAAGATGAGAGAAAGGAAAGATCTCTTCTGATCATGAAAACACGCGATCTAGGTCTCCTCCTCTCTCAAGATCTGCCAAAATCTGGTGCCACAACCACTCCTCACCAGAAAAAATTCATAAGACTGAAAAAAAAACCCCACAGGTTATTGGAAAACAGTTGTAAGAAGCGCAGGAAAGATGAGGACAAGTGAAGAGGGCGAACGTAAATGATTCATCTAGTTTTCTTGATGGAGGTGTAAAGAGGGGAAGAAGAGGCCCTCAGATTCAGGAAATGGTGAGATCGATGGGGGCGACAGCGTTGATGATGAGATTGATGCCATGAAGAAGCTTAGGATTCCATTAGGGTTTGATTCAATGAAGGGGAAGCCAATGCCTAGTGGTGAATGTGAGTGTCCCCATTGTTCAAAAAAGTGGACCGCCCAGTGCCTATGCAGCTACCTAGGGGGTCTAAAAGGCTTGGGTGCATTGCCCAGGCCTAGGCGGCAGTCCCTGAGCGGCTGCCTAAGCAATATGGAACCCGCCTAGGCGGGCGCCCAGAGCCTGCGCCCTGCCTAAAAGCCGAAATGCCCTGGGCGCCCCGCCAAAGGGCTGAAATACCCTGGGCGCCCCGCCTAAGGGCGGAAATGAGTTTTTTTTTTTTTGGTTCTATTGAGTTTTTTTGAAAAATAAAGGCTTTCAAATATGGGTTTTAAGTTCATTTGAAACCTAAACCCATAAGAACCCATTTTAGAGAGAAATAAACCTCAAACAAATTAAATTTTGTGATTTTTATTGGATCAAAGTGTTTCTCAAAGTTATGGAAAATTGATCCAAGCATCACCCAAGTAGATTAGATTTAGTTTTAGAGTTTTTTAATCCTATTAA